ATAAAACAAATCTCTCCTAAGCCTGTTCTGACAATGCAACTTTTGTCTGAGTTTTCCTTCCAGATGCAATTTCCTGTTTAATTTCCTGACCGTTTCTTACTTAGTAAAGGAAGAGCTATAAATTTCAAGATTGCTTCAGATAACTTCCTCTAACTTCAGCTGAACCATTCCCCCTGTCAGAGGAGAATCCAGCAAAACAGTATAAAACTTTTAAAAGCAATCCTGAAATATCTGGGAAGCCAAAACCTTCCAGGGCTCATAATGAGGGGGGAATGAGTTGTGCAAGAAGTGGGATTGGAATCTTTTTCCTTGTAGAGCTAAAGAGGAGAAACTCTGCGTTCAGCACAGCTGGTAATTGCCGTTTCACCCTGAGATACAGGGCTTTTGTTAGGGAGATGTCACCATGGCACGGCCGTCCTCTGTGCTGCTGGGCTGCCAGACTCCTGGATGTGAGACAGCGGTCACGGTGACCCCGATTAAATGGCAGATACAGCGGGGTTGGGTCACGGAGAGGCACACTCTGTGCAGAGCCTCATTATGTTTGCTTAATGCAGGGCAGCACTGAGCACTGCTGGATATCACTTGTTTCATCTCCTCGGCCCCTGCACCATCCACAGGGACCCTGCCTGACCACCATGACTTGAGAGCAGTGGCTTCCTGGAGTGGTTCTACTTGATCCTAAAGGATGCTCACAGGTTGTTACCCCGAGATGGGGCAGTGAGCCATTCTCTCACTCTGAACACAAACCAGTCCCCGCAGTTACATTTGTCCCCAAGCAGCCCCCCACATCAGCGTGCTTTTGTACTGTTTCTGCTTTGCAGGAAAGAGATGGCCCTCATCTGGGTGTGCGGCCACACTGAGGGTGGAGAGAAGCTCTCCCAGGCAGATGGGGAGGAGAACTGCAATCAGCGATGTTTGGCAGGGACTGCATGACCCTGTGTGGGAGAGTGCTTTCATCTCTGGCCAACCAGCCCTGATCTAGAGCCTTGATGTCTGGCACAGGTAGACTGTGGCATGGTCCTGCAGCTCCTAAAGCCCTGATGCACATGTGCTATGGGCAGGTGAGGGGCAGAGGTAATGCCAGGGGGTCCAGAGAGGCCTCCACATGCTGCTGTATCCCAGCACAGTCAGAGCAGATGAGTGACCAGTGTGACACATCCTGGGCTCCTACCGCTGCCCTGGCAATCTCTCATTTGCAACCCAGCCAAGGGCACATCCCTGGCCCTGCAGGCCCGGGTGACTCCAGTGCAGAGGCTGCTGCTCTGTGCCAGCTGTGCCATCCAGCTGCTGAAGCCACCCTCTGTGCCCATCTGGGAAAAGAGAAACCAAATCTCATCACAGAAACTGAGGTGTACGCCTATTCTTTGTCCCTATTTCTGAGAGGACAGCATGGCTTGAAGCTGCTCACAACAAGATGAGGGGTCAGAGGAGCACCTAGCACCACAGCATGGTGTTGGTTTCCATTCTACGCTCTAATGCAAATCAAGGTGAAAGCAAAGCAAAGCTCTGCAAAGCAGCACAGTGGCACATCTGTCGCTTTGTCAAGGCAAAACCAAACCTGTGAGCACACCAGGACTGGGGCCATCCTCAACAGCTCCTTAGCAGTGGCACAAGGAACACATTAAATGTAAGCCAGACAGGAGCAAGGCTGTCAGAATGTACATTTTGTTGAGGATGGTGCCTGCATGGCCCATGGACAGGGCAGAGCCAGTGACACCTTGCCTACAACTGCTTTCAGCTCGCATTTCTGAAACAGCCCCATCTGTGCTTCCTTCAAAAGATGACTTGTTTGCATTCTTACTTCATTTTATCCAGTCTCCTCTGGTCTATTTCTGACTTTCTTTGTACTTATGCAGCCAGAGAACAAAAACTTCTCCTGGACAGAGGAAGAACCTTGTGGGGAGGCACTGTGTCTTTTCACACTGCTCTCACTGTGTCTCAGAGCCATTGGGAGGAACCAGCTGCTGATGAGACTGCAGCTGGCAAGACCCCCAAACGTTGTGTGTCTGCTTTCCTCCCCCCAAGGGGTGATTTTTGGTGAGTTTTACCACTCATAGCTCTCCATGTGTTGTCACCAATCATGGCTGAGCTGAATCAGCACCTCAAATCCCATCCCCACGCTTCAACTTCAGGGCAAAACAAAGGGGAACACAGTCAGAAACAACCCCAAAAAGGCTTCGTCGGGAGCCCCAGCCCTGCTCTGTCTGGAGTTGGGAACCTGAGCCCCCCCTTACTCCCACAGCTTTGGCTTTTTTCACACTCAACCTCAGTGATTACCCCCACACTGCTCATGCAGACAGGTTTTTATCCTCACACCCTGAGGTCTGTTTTCCTCCCTGTGTGCTATGGATGTGCCACGTACAGTGTGGGTTGAGCTGAGGTTACCTGGGCAGCTGACACTTGGCCTCCTCCCACACGGCGCTGCCCAACCTGCAGCTGGCAGGGCACATCCTTGACATCATTCTTGGAGGCAGTTTCCTAGGGACTTAAAAAGAAAAAAAAAAAAATCATTTAAAAAAGCCAGTGAAAAAACAAAAACTTTCCCACCACATTAATTGCATAGAAGCCTCCTTCAAAACAGGAACCAGTTGTCCCCTGTCCTTGAGCTGGCTGGAAATCCCAGCAGAACCACCTTGTTCTCCTCCCAGCATGGGTGCTGGGGGAGTTTGGCCGCAGGGTTTCAGAGCTATGTGCTGACCGCTGGGGAATGCCAGCATCGGGGAGCTCAGTTTGCAGCCAGAGGTCACATCCCTGTGTGTGCGTCCCTCCAAATTGCACCCCTCCTGCCCTAGCTCCACAACACCTCTTCCATCCTTCTACCCTGCCACTGGCTCAGCAAACCTCATGCTGCAGGTCACAGTTCTCCATACTTCCCAGGTGCTGGCAGACGCTGAGGAGGAGCTCACAGGCCTCACGGGCAGCTCCAGGAAGGTCTGGTCAAAAAGACCACTTCTTGGCTAGCATAAGAGAGCATCTGTCCTTAGCACAACCTGCCCATGGTGAGGGCATTTCTGGCATCTCCCTGGGACCAGGAAGTGGCCCCGGATCCAGGACCCCAGGCAACCAGCCATGTGAGCCCCAGCATCCCTCCCCGGCAGCTTTGTAGTTGTAAGTCTGCTCAGAGCTTAAGGCCTGGTGTCACAGAATCACTGAATAGCTTGGGTTGGAAGGGAACTTAAAGATCATCTAGTTCCAACCCCCCATCTGCATGCACAGGACTTAAATTCCTAAATAGGTGCTTGCAGGAAAGCAGCCGCAGCAAGCGCTCTGGGGCCATGTAAGGCAGGAAATGGTCTCTGGTCATGGAAAAATTCAGCTGCTGGAGCCACGCCAACCTCCCCCCAAAAACATTCCTCTAAAGGGAGGTTTCGGCTCCAGGGTCAAAGGGAAAAACTCGGATTGGTTGTCAGAGAAACAAAGCCTGGGTGCACATAGCTGTGTTCACAGGCAGACCTGCCAGTCCTGCAGCCTACACCTGGCAGAAGCAGCTCAGGACTGCTGGTGAGAAGGAATGAGCCCATGCTGCAGGGACACCCTGGGGACACAGAATGCACTTGGTGGCATGTTAGACTCAGCAGCCGTAGGATGACGAGGAAGAACCTGAGCTGAGGGATGTGGGAACACTCAGGATCTGCCTGTCCCCACAGCCTCTGGCATTCTTGTCCCCAAGCAAGGCACAGTTGTTTGGAGGAGCACCACAAATGCCAGCTCACACACACTCATCCCACTGTGGGAAGATGCAGACATGGCTCTGAGACAACCCATGCCCTGAATACTTTGATATTCAAATACCTTCAGCATAGGCCTAGATCAGTCACAGCTATTTAAATCCCAGCCTGTCACCTTTTCCAGCATGGCTTCCAAACAGATTTAGCAGCATATTGCAGTGCAGGAGCCCTGCAGAAACTAAACAAGTCTGCAGTGGGGTCAGTTGTGCAACACAGTGGCTAGCATTGAGCTTCAAGTGGATCTGAAACACAGGTGGGAGCAGTTGTGTCCCCCAGAGCTGGCGTTATGGCAACATAGCCCCAAGTGCTCCTCAGAGCTTTGTGGCAGGATGGGTAGCACCACCAAGTGTGTTGCTGTATGACAGAGGGCTCAGCCTGTCTGGGGTCCACAAACCCCCCCTGCAGCTGGTGAGGGAGATCTTGTTGCATGGAATTAAGACACGCACAAAGGGGTTTTGCATCCTTGACCTTAGGCACCACTCGGGGTGTGACAGGAACGTCCTTCTCCCAGCTGCTCTGCTCTGCCTGCCAAGTACACGTTGCCGTGGGAAGGCTGAGGGGTGACTCCACAGCACGTGCTCCTTCCGACTGGCAGGGACAGCCGGTGACGTGGCTTGTGCCATAGTCATAGGTGCAGGACTGCTGTGCAGGCAGGTGACTCATTCCCTGCAGACAGAGTCTGGGCCACCTGGAGGGCTGAGCTGCCCTTTAGACCGCGGGTGGAGAGTTTTCCAGAGGGATGCGAGTGCAGTGGCAGCAATAGGTGCCCTGTGTTCCCATTCCCGAGGCATTGCAGTCACTCACAGCAGTCTCAGGAGAAGGCACCCAAGCCTGCAGTGACGCAGCTGCAGGAGTCACGTGAGCAGAAAGCAGCGTCAGTGCAGGATGGGTTGGCAGGGGTGCCCATCGCCCCCGGCCCACCGCGTCCACCCCCTGGCACACCTTTCTTCTGCCACGGCGGAACACGGCTTCTTTCAAACTCCCAAATGCCCAGGCCGTGGGATCGCAGCACCTGGGGCAAGGCTCTGGCAAAGAATAAAAAATAAAAAAAGTCCAAGCCGCTAACTAAGCTTGTAAGCGATTTCATTTATCCACAGTTACCAAATTGATTACGATCGCCTCCAACAGGCGATGAGCATCCCCTGCACACCGCCCCTCCCGGCCCTTCTCCCTTCCGGCCCGGCTCCAGCACCGCCCAGCTCCGGGGGCAGCGGACACCCGCTCGGCGGCCGGGCTCCTCCGCCAGGGGGCGCCTCCGAGCGCCCCGGCGTCCCTTGCGCCGCGCCGGGCCCGGCGGAGGCGACGGCGGCCGGAGGGAGCCGCGGAGCCGCGGTGCGGTGTAGCCGGGCGGGCGGGGAGGGGGGTGAGCGCCGTCCTCGCTGGGGCGGGCCGGCGGGGCGGGCCGGCGGAATGGATCGCAGGCTCGGAGGGAGGAGGGATGCGCAGCCGCTCTTGCTCGCTGGCTGCCTTTTGTCCCGGGCGGGCTGCCCGAGTCCCGTGGCAGTCCCGCAGCCCAAGGGGGGACCTTACGTGACGGTTAACCCGCACCCTGCTCTTTCCCAGGTCTCTGAGAGCACCGTCAGGTTGTGAGCGGAGGAGAGGAGCGGAGCCGCGTGCAGGCCTCCTCTGGGGCAGCCCGTGGGAGGATGGTCTGCGCGCAGGTGGAGACGAGCCCGAGGCGGTGCTGGCAGAAGGTGCTGTACGAGCGGCAGCCCTTCCCCGATAACTACGTGGACCAGCGGTTCCTGGAGGAGCTGCGGAAGAACATCCACGCCCGCCAGTACCAGTACTGGAACGTGGTCTTCGAGTCCGGGGTGGTGGTGCAGCAGCTCTGCAGCGTGTGTGTCTTTGTTGTAACGTGGTGGTACATGGACGCCGGGGTGCTGAGCCCGCAGGGGCTGTTTGGGGCAGCCCTGCTCACTTCTCTGCTTGGCTATGTCCTCTTTGATGCCGTTGACGCCGGGGTCGGGCGGCGGCAGAGCGGGCGGACACGATGGGCAGACCTGAAGAGCACGCTGGTGTTCACCGCCTTCACCTATGGCTTCTCACCAGTGTTGAAGACACTGACGGAGTCCATCAGCACGGACACCATCTATGCCATGTCGGCCTTCATGCTCCTCGGCCACCTCATCTTCTTCGACTACGGTGCCAACGCCGCCATCGTGTCCAGCACGCTGTCCCTCAACATGGCCATCTTCGCCTCGGTGTGCCTGGCCTCTCGTCTGCCTCGCTCCCTCCACGCCTTCGTCATGGTCACCTTCGCAATGCAGATCTTTGCCCTCTGGCCCATGCTGCAGAAGAAGCTGAAGGCCCGGACGCCATACTGCTATGTGGGGGTGACCGCGCTGTTCGCGTTGGTTGCCCTTGTGGGGCTGGCGAGCGTCTCCAGTGTGGGTGCTGTGCTCTTTGCCTCGCTGCTGCTCTCCGTTTCCTGCCTCTGCCCTTACTGCCTCATCCGGCTTCAGCAGCTCAAGGACAACATCCACGGGCCGTGGGATGAGGCTGAAATCAAGGAGGACCTCTCCAGGTTCCTCATGTAGGGGGGAAGCGGTGCCTTCTGCTTTGAGGGGCCTTTTTGGGGCACAGCTCCAAGGGGACACCCAACCCAATAAAGACTCGCACTACAGCAGGGACTGCATGTGTGTGTGCTGTGACTGCTCTGGGCTGTGGGTGAGCGGGGAGGTGCTGGCAGACCCATGGCAGTATTTTTGTCCAACCACCGAGCCAGAGGCATGAAGCAAGGTCTCTCTGCTTTCCTGTGGAGGGATGTAGTCCCAGCAGTGGGCACACAGTGGCCATCCAGCCCAGCCCCAGGGTGCTGCAGCAGTGATGGGACATCCGCTAGTCCTTCCTGGCACTTACATGTCTGGTGTCTGACTCCACACACCTCACAGCAGAGGGTCTTCTAAGCAAAAAAGTCAAACTGGAGGGCATCTCTGTATGAGCCAGCCCTGTGTTGTTTTCCAGAGGCAAGTGGTCCAGCAGAGCATGGACTTGGCCATAGGAATAGCATTCTAGGCTTCCTGTTACCAGAGCCTTCTTCATGCTGGGCAGGAAGCCGAAAGCACAGGGGCACACGCAGGCCTGAGTACACTCACACATCCTGCATGCACAGCCACACTGCCATGTCCATCAGCAAATACACCTCTGCAGACTGTGGGACCACAGCTGCTTGTTCCTGCAGTATTTACCCCTAGCACTAAGACGAGAGGAAGCACTGCTCCTTTCAAAGTAAAAGACAGAGTCAGAACCCTCCTACTCTGGAGGCAGCACAAGGAGATGTTTAAAACACCCAATTTCTCCAGTAAGATGTGGCACCAGCTTTGCATGCACGCGCAGGGGTGGTGGAAGATTACAGGGGCGAGGAGCGCTTCTGCTGCAGAAGTGCAGGTTTGAACCTATTGATTGAATCCATTGAGTGTGAAGGGCTTTTGCAGGCTAACAGCTCAGAGCACTGTTGTCTCATCCCAGCAAGCAGGCGCTGGCTCCATGAGCTTCTTAGGAAATGAGCAGCCCACTGCAGAGCCCCCAACACCTCCAGTGCTTTGTTACGACAACTTGCCAAGTTTTAAATGTTGCTGTTGTTGTCATGGAGATGACTACATCTAATTTTGTTTTTAATTAAAGAAAACCTGCAGAGGTTTAGAGTATGTGCTCCAGGCTCACAGGGAGTGCAGAGTAGCCAGATGCTCACAATCAAGATGACAGTCTTCAGTTCTTCTAAAAGAAGATTATTTCTTCATGAGGAGGTTTCCAAGAAAGTCAGTCAGTTGCTGTTGGCCAGGATGCCCCAGTCTATCAGACTCATGCTGCTGTAACACTGCCATCCACGGCAATTCACAGAATCCATCTCTGGACAAGGCTTTGGTATGCTTGGATTAAATTTCAGAAGGCAAGTAACAGTTTGTCAAAGAAGCAAATGAAATGTAGCTTTCTTGGCTCCTGCAGTTAATGTCTCTCTTGGTAGGGCCATGCTCTCTGCAGTCAGGTTTACTTGAAATTGCTGCTGCACAAACACCTCTGTCCTCAAACTGTTGTTAACTGCCATCCTAAACCTTTGCATTTACCAACTGCTGGTGCATCTCAGATTTAGCATAGCCCTGACTCCATTTTGAATATGCAGTATCCAGGCTAACAGTGACAAAATGGAGTGTGTATAGGAGTTGTTTCATCTCAGGCACAGCACGTGAGGCTGAGGAGGCAGCTGTCCCTTGTCAGTGGCCCAAGGAGGCACCAGTGATCTGGTGGTTCGTTAGGCTAATGCGACTGGGGCAAGGTAGCCTTGGAGTTTTTTTTTTTTGAGCCTGGACTTATGACTACAAGAAAGTATAGTTTCTGCTAGACCCATTCACCAAGAGTGAAATGTTTTCTAAAAAAATACTCTTCTCAAATCCAGACTCTTAAACAGCTTTGTGTTAGGAAAGTGCAAACATCGCTTATCCAGTTATGATTCCATGTGGCAATGGGCACTGATTATCATGGCTCCGGGCAATAAGGGAGCTAGAAACACATGGAGGAACAGAGAAGCAGCGTCTCTCTGTTGCTACCCCAACAAGGCTTCATCTCAGATCCTGAGAAGGACTCGGGGTGATCCAGAGGCTGTGCTCTTACCTTCACTGGAGCTCTCTGCTTGTTTGGAGCTGCTGTCCCAGTGCTGCTTGGTGCACAGCAATCCACATGCTGGGACATTCAGGTTCCCTGCTCTGATGTGGAATGGTCATGTCCAGGAGGAGGAAGAGACACTGCCTCAAGCTGATGGAGACCTGTTGGGCAAGTGGAGGCCAGCTGTGGCTTGTGGTGTCTGTGCCATGGTCACCTCAACCACAGCTGAAACCCAATGGGCTTATCTCTGGCAGTTTAAAGTTACTTGCATTTGGGCCAGATCCCTGGGCTTTGTTTGATCCAGCACACCATACCTTCCTTGCTCCAGGCAGGATGCAGGATTTGTCTTGTACAGCTTGCTGCAAGCAGTTTTACCTCCTTAAGTTGCCACAGGCCTCTTTGCTCTGCCCAGCTCCTTCAGCCCTGCACACTTTACCAACACTGCTGGAATAAATGGCTGCAATAAATATGTCCTTATGCCTGAGATCAGAATATGTTGTACAGAACACAACGATTTCAACTTACTGTTCAACTCATCAGTATAATTACATGCCCTTTTAGCACTTGCTACCTGAGTGTACAGCTCTCTGGTTTGGCCAAACAAAGAAATAGGTCCATCTTGGTTTGCATGCGACTGGATCACCAACAAGCAACTCTAAAGAGTTAAACATTAGTTTGCACCACAAAAAAGTGCAGTTCCTTTATCTAAAGTTGCCATTCCCAAGTCCACTGAGATACAGTATCTCAGCAGGACATTTTCTTTTGATTTGAATCTGGCCCAAATGCAAGTAACTGTACACTGACCAGGGCTAAGCTGTGCTCCTGGGGGAGTCGCTGACACGTGCCGTCTGCAATCTCCATCTACAGCATCTGCAGCAGGGAAAGGCAAGCGTCAGCCACCCACAGCAGGCACAACAGGCTGTCAGGGGCCTCTGTCCCTCCTCCTCGTGGGAGCACAGCATCTGGGAAGCCTGGAAACAGTGAAGCTTTAGTCTTTGAAGGTAAGATCTTTTTATCTCTTCAGTTCCCACTCTAATCACTAGGCTTTTCTCTGCACATCATATAGGTTCATGCTGTGAGGAGGCCACAGCAGCAGAGTGAGCAGGAAACCAAAACTGGCTTTTGGTCTGAAATCATCCTTTAAGAAAACCTAGGATGCATAATGCCACCAGCTGGGGTACAGCACCCTCCATCTTCACCAGCTACACTCAGAGCATATGCCAGTGCAGAATGAAAACAGCACAGGGTTGAGCAGCTTCTTTAAAAAGTCACCCCGTGAGCTGATACCAAAGCATGTGCCAAAGTTTTCCAGCACAAAAGCTCCTGCACTCATCACCAATGCCTTCTGTACCCAGCAGACTTTAAGAAGAGCTACTTGAAAACCATGAAGTTCAGAGTCCCATCTCCAACAGTATTTTTAATAAATACTTCTGAAGAATGTAACCATTTCTGTAAACGATTTAACACTATAAAACACCCCTAAAAGAGAACTTTGTGCCTTACAGCACTGATGCCGGCTGGCAGACAGGAAAGCAGCAACGCTTTCTGGGTTGCTGTAGATAATAAGGCTCTAGAATTAAAATATCAGCCACTTTCTACCTGTTCCCCTCTCAGGACCTTGCCATACTATAGAGGTAAAGCAGTGAGTGTTGCCCCCAGGCCAGAACAAATTCTTCAACAACCCAGAAAGAAGAACAAAAAAAAAAAAAAAGTAGCTTGTGAAATTCAATCTGGTCCCATTCCCTCTTACCTGGGAGGTGAAGCAAGGCCAGAACCTCTTGCCTCTTGAACAGCCTGCCGGCTACAAATGCCACTTTCTGTACTCCTGAACTCTGCTGAGGGCTTTTCAGCTACTATCTGATGACAGCAAATTCCACTGATGAGAGATGCAGCAAGGTAAATCAGCCCCAACTAAGCAGTGTCAGACCTGGCTTGAATCTGAGCACAGTCTGTGTGTTGTCAGGCTCCTTCTACACATGATACAAATCTCCTCTGCTCGTCTGCTCCCAGAGCGGCCCTGCAGCAGCTTGCTCTCACTGTAACCTTCCTACTATAAAAAATGTTTTGTTCATACCTTTCAAAGAACAGGCTGGAATCCTGATGCTGCACTGTACCTCCAGTTCATGTCTGTGCAGTTCCCTCTGATTTATCAGTATTGTTTGTGAGATATCCCTTCACTGTTTTCATGTGAGAAAAAAAATAAATCAATAAAAACATCAATTTTAAACTTTTTAAAGACTTATTCTTTATATACTTCTCTAGCACCTAAGACAAGAACATCTTCTGAATATTATATTAAATTCCAGATTTTATCTTCCACTCAACACCACTGGGTCAAACTTACTTGAAATCCAGAGGGAACTACTTACAGATACTTGAGCTCAGATGGTCTAGTGAGGTTAGCTTGCAGAGAATTCAGAGGTTTAGCTTGAAAAAAGTGGTCAGAGCAGCTGCAATGTGTTTACAATTGTGCAGATTCATCAGTGGAGAGACTGCTACAACCTTCTTAGGTTTTTCACTCAGCACAGAGTCAGGGGCTGCTGGTGCATTAGACATCTTACAGGAGCCTTTTGCAATCTCTGCTGTTCAGAAAGTTGGAAGTTCTTCCTGCTGATGCTAAGTCAAAGGCATTTACAAGAACAGTCATGGTGGTCAATGAATTCAGATACAGTGACGGAATCCCAGCAGCACATCCCTCCCTCCAACACCTTGGATGTGGGGGGTCTCCCAGGAGCTGAGGCTTCATGGAGCATTAATGGCTCCTTTTGAGAAAGAGTAGATAGACCCTTCCATTGAAAAACAGCACACATTCATTTTGTAGCCAGAACTTTTATTTTCTTTATATCCAAGCTTATCATTGACATCTGAAAATAAAATCTTTCATTTACAAATGGACTAGTGCAAATTAAAGATAAATTTGGACAAAGAGAAGACAGACTGCATGTAACAACAACAACAAAGTGTGTGTTAGGCTGATCTTCCTGGAACGGCTGGAGGAGGTCGCCTAGGAAAAAGACAAAAAATAACCCAAAATTCGTGGGGAGGGGAAGAAGAGATTTAAAACAAAAGCTCAAGATACAATAAAATGACTCATATACAAAATTATCTTAATAAAATGAGTTAAGAGGAAAAGGCACAGAACATGCACAGTGAGGAAAAGAGCAAGAACGAGATCAGGATCAGCTGGCTATCAGCACAGCCTCAGCTTTCATCCTCACCGCTTCCCATCTGACATCCTGGCGCCAGAGAGCTGGGACAGTCACACTGAACAATCACACTGGACAATCGCATCGCAAGTGCGTTGCTGCTCAGAGGCTTTCTAATTTTCTTGGAGGAAATAATATCCTCCAAAAGAGCCTTTCCCCAGCCAGCCTTAAAATTTGCACTGCTATATGCTTCAAACGCTGTTCTCACTTCTACAAGTGAGATTCTGATGAAATCAGGAGTGATAAAACAAGATGGATCTATGCGCTCGTGTATCTGGAGGGGGGGGGGGGGGGGGGATTGCTCATTGCTCAGGAAGTTAGAAGCTTGGGTGATGGCACTGCTGTGAATCTGCTGCCAAAATGAGCAGGAGTGACCCCTGGCAGCGGGTGCCTCAGTGCCTCGGTTGGAGGAGAGTGGCTGCTCATCCCATTTCCAGCATACAGCACCTGTGTGTTGCTGGCCAGCATGCCAGGAAGCAGCTCACACAGCAGTATGTAACATAACGCAGGCAGAGACATGCACGTGACGTGGCTGTTTACCAAAGGAGGCTGCACAGACTGCCTATGACAAAAAAAAGGTTCCCAAATTTGCTGTGAGTACAATGGGGACGTGAGTGCTTTGCTCATCCCACCTCTTGTTCCCTCTTTCCCAAAACTTGAAGAGCAGCACGGTGATGGTTTGTTGGGAAATGCCCCCTGCTGTCATGCTGTTATAACTGTGCCATGCAGATCATCTCTGAGCACCAATTTCACTTACTTGGCTCACACTAACCTAAAGGAGGAACTGAGTAATCAAGGCATTTTGAGGCAGCTGCATGTGCACATACAACCGCTCTGGGGGGAAATCCTTTCCAGGCAGGACATGTCCACATGCACAGTTTTACTCCAACTCCTGAGAAGTTGCTCTGGCCCTGCACTCAGCTTTCAATCTCCCCCCAGACACACTTTTCCCAGCAATGAAACAAACAGCATGCACTGCCTGACAAACATTCACTTAGCAAAATACCCCTGCAGCTCTGCAAGCCCCTAGCAGGGCTGCATGCTGAAAGCTTCCCATGGGCTGCTTCTCTTCTGTCTGCCCCTTCCACGACATGTGTATGATCTGAGCTGCAGCACACACCTCTCTGGTCAATCCTCACCGCAGTCCCAACAGAGGCAGGGTGCAGAGTGCCAGATTGGAGATCGCTCATGCGCATCAGAAAGTAATAATAAAAGCCCATCAAGAGTTACAGTTTATTTCAGGTTCAGAAATGCAGCATAACATGTTTACAACAGGTGTATGCAATGCTCAGTAATGACCATGGTTTCGAGAACCGACTGGCTGTGCTCAAAGATCAACACCAGATACCATTTACAGACTACGAAACCAAAGGCAGATGTTTTGGTTCATATGAAGCAGGGTATTAACGTACAGAGCAAAATTCAGTAAGAAATCAAGCGTTTGCTTCTTACAAAAAGAAGTCATTGTTTACACCATCCTGGAAAAGTAAAGAGACAGGAAGTAAAGCAAACGGCCAGCAAGACGGGACAAATCATATATCAAGCAAGAGTGGAGGACTGTCTGGACGGGAGGAGCCATCGGCATCAGCTCGCCTGCAGACAAAGCAAGAGGAGAGACAGGCAGAGTAACATTCATTTACACAAGGGAGTTGTTCTGCAAGAGCCTGGGGGAGGAGGTTCAATGCCACCGTGGGAGGAGGTGTGCCATGAGCACACCAAGGAGTCGATGCCTCCCCAGTGCCACATGTGCAAAATTGGTCTGCTTAGAATTCAGGAGGTTTGGACTATTTTAAGACAGAAAGACAGAACTAGGCAGTAATCTTAATATGCTGTACACATCATGTAGTGTAGCTGTCTGCAATACAGAGTATAATATTTTCTACGTTATACTTCAACATGAAATGCTATAACCTCTAAAGTACCTCCTTTAATATAATTACCTACTTTTATGAGGCTTACTCAGAAAGTGCAATGAGATCGGCAATAAAACAAACATACATCAACTATGTACAAAAGCCTTTTCTTCAAACATACAATCATTTTAATCCTAACACAAGATCCCTGGACATTAAAGGCCAAGAGCTATTTACAGTGTGAGCAAGCTCCTCAGCTGCTGGTCAGCCATATGAAGGTGAGGTGGAATGTGTTCTCTGGGCACAGGCCCAGGCTTAGCCTCCATGCAGAACTAGATAAGCACCTTCCTGCAGCTTTGCTGCCTTCGTCATCCAGCTCACTAAGCTTGCAAACCCTGCTGTTGCTTAACGGGAGTCTCCACTGCTCCCTGGCAATCTTCCCTTTGCCTGAGGGTATCAAACAAATGGAGAGCAACCCGTGCTTCTCTGTTATGGGAGCCCAGGCTCAGCTGTCCCTGGGTAAGGGTACCTGCAGAGGGGCCGGGGCCAGTCCCAGCCAGCCGGTCCCCCTAGCAGATCCCTGAGAATATACTGGTGAGCTCTTCCTCCTGTCCTTCAGGCACAGAGCAAGCTACTGCCAACTTGCTCCTCTGAGAACAAGGGATGGGAGAGACACAGCTTACCAGAATCAGGAGCCAGCAGGACAAACAAACACATTCCAGGCACTGTACAGCACGAGGAAAATGGGTCAAAGCTAGGGAGGAGAGTATGTAGTCAATTGCAAGTGGCAATTTCTTGGGAAGCAATTAGCATGTTTCCTAGGAACGATTCTTTATAGTTTATTCTAAAAAGTGTATATGCAATACATTCGAGGTGAATTCATCAATCCATGGATCTGTGCTCAACACCAGTTATTAGCTTACACGTCTCAAAGCTCTGTATTTCAGGAGCAGGTTCCTATTTAGATGTGATGGAGATGTAGAGGATGGGAAGGCTGCGCAGCCTCAAATGAGCTCAAAACTGCGTGCAGAATGCACTGCTGCTGACACTGGGGCCACTGCACTGAGCTGTGCTATTTCCTTACTCTTGACAGAAAGGGTCATCAAAGTAAATTAAGGAGTCTCAAGTACAGAAGATTTAAGCACACCTTTTTAAGTCAAAACCTACATCATTTAATTGAGGCTCCTAACTTACCGGCATTGCCACCCTCATCTTCCAAGCAATTACACCAGTCTGAGTCATCCCTTCTCTTTCCACAGAACAAATGGGAGAGCTTGGACAACTCAGCCAAGTGCTTAGGATAAAGTGGGATGAACACAGCCCATGGGCTCGCCGTAGCACTGAACGAATACCAACATCTGGGATTAAGGTGACTTTCTGTGGCTGAGGTGGAACAATGCGGTTGACTTTACAACCTTTTCATCCTTGAAAGCTGATTCTGTGTGCTCCGCGTGGAGGATCTAAGCCTACTCCCCAAACAAACAGCAGCCATTTAAGCAATCTTCTGAGCTCACCGAGATGCCGGTGCTCTGACAAGTTTCCCCGTGCTTCAGATGTTGACCTCAGCTCCCCAGGTGTGTGTCACAAGTGTGTGGTTGACAGGAAATTAAAGTCAGGCTAGCATACAAATCACGATGCTTTCCCGAACTCGTTTCTCTTCTACAAGCAGAAACACGATTTGCTTTGGTAGTGAACGTAACTGTTATTCAATCAGCGGCCTGGGAATATTTAATGGGCAAAATCCCCACTGGTTGTGGCTCCTTGATTGGATTCTTCCTAACCACGGGGCTGCAGCATACTGGAGCCCTACATACAGCTTCAATAAGTGAATTTATTAGACTGATTATAGCGGGGGACTTTGAAACCACCAATCGCTTTGCCTAGGGATCTGTAACCATAATTGCAATAACAGCAATTAATATTTTCTGACTACACAAGGCCAACTTCATCTCTGTTTTAATCCTGTCAACTCAAGAAGTTTTAAATTACAGGGGTGTTGCTGAGCTTAAGTGTTTAAAGTTAAGGAACGCAGTTAAGACAAAAGGTTTTTTATATTACATTAATACACAGTGTAAAACAGGCAGAGAACTTCTGAAAGTGAACATCTGCTAAAAAAAATGCATGGCCAGGATGCACAGCTGAGCATTTCTCAGCACCTTTTTGGATACAATGACTCCTAATCTGAAGTGAGTAGAATGTCAAGAGACACAAAGGGAAAATACTTAGTGGACGTTGTGGAACTTTATCGACTGGTGTGAGCAAATATCTCAAACCCAAATGGGATCCCTTGGAAAGCCCAGATGCAGATCTAGGCCATAGCTCTGAACTGGCTCCCACAGTGGGCCCATGTACAGCTGTGCATATATTTATACATATATACATCTCTCAGTTCTCTGGACCCTTCCACGCAGCATATATATACATATCACATGCTCTCACTTACACACAAGGCTTCACATGAGTTCAGTGGGAGGACCGATGTGAGTGAGCGCTACCAGAGGACAAAGCAAGCTGGCACAGCCTGCTCTGTCACACACTGGCTCTTCAAAATGCCCTTCTCAAATCTTTGCTGCAGGGTGAGCCAGCTCCACAGCTTACAAGCCGGGGTGCTGCAGCCTGCTCCTTACCTGCCACCCAACCAGCTCTGCTATCAGTCAGCAGAGGGGAAGGAAAGTGAAGCACACACTGTCTCACACACATCCTTCTAGTTTAGCAATATTCCTTATAAACTTAGCTGCAGATCAGAAAAAATGATAGGAGAAGCAGCGTTCCAGCAAACTCCTTGCAAGAGAGATGAAAGCGTGAGGCCTTCAGAAGAGCTTGATAAGAAACCACGCTTTTCTCTGCCCAGTTTAGCCATTAACATAGAAAGTGGGCACAACTGTAAAACACCACGTGACAGAAAACATGAAAGGTACAAATAAAAGCAAGATTTCGGCAGGTAAGAGAAAAAGCAGCAGCTAAAATCAACACGTGCACAAACACAGACTCAAGTCTTCCTTTGACTGTATAGGATTGTGAGCACGGGTGCCTGGGTGAACACGTGTGTCAGTACATTAGCTAACATCAGCTACTGCAGAAGGAAAAGTCAAGACAGCACAGACCTTCCCAAAACATTTGAGAGCTCATAAACAATGCAGAATGGACAGAGATATATCAGTAAAATTGGTTACTTGCCTATGGACGTCCATACATGCGACTATACATTGGTTATTGCAACAGTTATCAAGCAGTTTGCTTCCACATATTTGGTTAACAATGAGTGGCATGCCAGAAACTTCATTTAGTCTAACAGGGATGAATCTAATGGACGAATTACAGTGGGCCGAGTAGGTGAGGGGGGTGGTCTTCGACTGGAGAAAAAGAGAGAAGAAACAGTAAGCACAAACATTAAGAGCAAACTCTGCACCTTTCGTGGTTGCTACATGAACCTGCACATGCACCCAAACACAACCATTTCCATGTATACTGGCACCCACAAGGAAGAAAGCAAAGGGTTTGCAGCATGCATACCGTGGATCAGTTCCCTCATGTATTTGACAGCTCTCTTCTCCAGCTCACAGACTGCTTAACCTCTGAACACAGCCACTCTCTTCTGCCAGGGAAATCAGCAGTGGATGATCATTATTCCTATTTTCTCAGGGGTCATCCCAGCCTGGCCAGCCACAGAATGGATTTATGGGCACATGTGAGGGTCGTCAGATGCCTTCACAAAAGCAGCCTGCAGTGACTTCTGCCACTGTATGCAGAAGAAAAATCTGTGGCTTCTTACACAGTTGGTCTTACTGGGACCACAGCACAGAGAAGTGGTGGCACAGAACTGGTTCTCCTCCAGTCTGTTAAAGGGGACACACAGACCCTACTAAAGTTGCAGATAGCTTATCTTTGGTCACAACGCAACTGCCTTTTGCATTTCTGCTTATATTTAGGGTACACAATCCACATCAGCATGGCATGGAAATAAATCAGGTTATTTCCTGATTGTTAGGTGGAGTGTTTTTGTAAATATTCCTTTTCCCCTGGGCTCAAACAGCCCTCTGCCATGCAGAGCCTTGCTGAGAGGTACGTACCTGTTTGGCCTTTAGCTCCAGCACTGGTTCAGACACCTCTGCCTGGTGCTGCCTTGTTCTCTATCTCCTTGCTACTCTGCTCCCTCAGTAGCTATTCAGCTCTCTCCAGCAGCAATCTACTGCTCCAGTTTATTCCATGCCATCTCTTAGCACAGTGTTTTTGCCCCCTAGTTACTTGAATGGGAGGTACAAATGCTCTCTCTGTTCCTTAATCTGACAGAGATCATCATAAGAGCATATATCTGAGCTTGTGATCTGAACAAAGGAAGCCAAGGGCTCTTCAATTCTAATCCAGCTTTGGCAGACTCTATCAACGACCCTAACAAACCACAGAGCCCTCTCCTACTCCGTCCTCTACCTGTCAAAGTAGGAACTGCCTGTCTCTGAAGAATATTACAAAGAAAATTTGTCTCGTTCTGTTAAATAAAATTAAATAGAAGATGAAAAGAATACAACAATGTGTTAATCTTCTTTGAACTGGAACATAATACACAAGACAAATTTACACTTGACCAAAAAAAAAAATCTTGTTTGGCTTAAAGTGCATCTTGTATGACAATATTCTCTTTTGGTGAAGAAATGAGAATTTTAATCCCTAACATGCAACAAACAGAACGCATGCCAACCAAGGCGTTCAAGTAAATCAGCAAGCTAAAACAAAATAGGCAAAATATAATTTCTTCATGGTGTATTTTTCTTACAGAAAAATGTTACTGTCTTAACTATTGTTCCTTGTGTTGCTCCAGTGTAGGTCTTCTGGACCCATTTCCAAAATTTGTAGTTTCATAAAGAACCACTTCTAAGGCTCTGTGTTTCTGCTGGGTTGCATTAAATTATTCCTTTGTTGAAATGCCTCACATTGCATTGTTTAGCGCTTACTGAAAACATCATATCATGTGTATACAATTTACAAACAAGGGAAAATGCATACAGCTGTCTTCATATCAAATTTAAAAGTTACAAGCCAAAGCATGCATTTTAATATGAGGTTGAATGCAGCACAATGAGTTCAAATAATGTAATTTAGTCAAATTGCTGTTTAGCCCAGCTGGATCAGAAACTGGAGGGCACAAGGGGAGGTTATCCTGGATTTAATCACCCAAACCAAACCTGAATCAAAATCAGGCCTGAGCCCTCTTTTCTCCTTGACCCAGGGCTGCTGCTGCACTTGGACAATTATTTTTTATTTTCCTTCAAGCCCAATCCAAAACTGCTCAGGAAAATACAGGGATGCAGTGAGGCACAGGCAGACCTCCTCAGCCCCATTCCTCTCCTCCATCCCATAATGGTGCTGCCTTGCTCCATGGGCAGTGCAGCTGCTCAGAGCTTCCTTCTGGCTCCACGATCACACTATGGCTGGGGGAGCGGGATGTGCCCTCTGCAAGTCAGAAGCACCCTCCAGAGGAGGCAGATATGTCATAGAATAGAGTCATGGAATCATGAGGATGGAAAAGACCACTAAGATCACCTAGTCCAACCATCTGCCCACCCGCACCATGCCCACTGCCCATGTCCCTCAGTGCTACATCTCCGTGGCTCTTGAACACCTCTAGGGACAGTGACCCCACCACCTTCCTGGGTAGCCTTTGGGAAGAGGCAAGGCTTGGGGAGACCTGCAAAAGCACCGTTCAGTCTCCTGGGCGCATGCCTGTCATGCAACAAGATGGGCCAAGGACCACTGCCTCAGGCATGGCCCAGCACAGAGCTGCAGCTTGGGAAGAGACCTGGCCTTCATTAGCCACCAGCATGCAGTCATGATGGCATGAGCTGGAGCTCAGGGCAGAAAGTGAGGGAACGGACAAGCCCAGAAATTGTCTGTCTCTAGATTTCCCTACCAAGGTGACAAGCCACTACACGACCATTTTTTACTCTGGAAGCACAATTCAGACCTCTTTTTCTCCTTCTAAAAGAGAAATCAACCCCAGGCTGAAGGAGAAGCCTACCCCCATGCCTGTCTCTCCCTGCATCACAGCTGGATGTGCTGGCTGCGATGGAGCAGTGCAGAGCCTGGCACCCAAACTGCCACCCCGGGATAATGGAGCAGGCACCTCCAAAAGCACAGATCTGAGGAAGGCTGGCTTGGCTTTGGCACAGCTGCTTTCCGAGCCTGAAGTCGAGCAAAGGTTAAATAAATGTGTACTGCCAGTCTCTTCAAATGGCAGCCGTGCAGAGGCCGGCAAGCAGAGCAGCAGAGGGAGCTGCAGCCTGCCTGTGGCCGTGCAGCTGGGGCAGCCGCAGCACAGCAAGCCCCCGCAGGTCCGGCTGCACTGGCTGCCATGGCAGCGAGGAAATATGTGACTAAGCCGTATTAAATGTTTAGTCTGGAGCCAAAAGATGAGACACGGAGAGACAGCACAGAGCACATTTTCTCTGTGTTATCAGAGCGATTCCATCAGCAGCACCAAGCTGCTCCTCCTAGGCTGCAAGGGGCTGCTCTGGATTCATAGAAAGCTCTGTCTTATAAAAACTGCACTTCTGCACTAATTCCTGTTTGCTTATTGTCTCAAGCATTTTCACTGTGTGTTGCAGTTGTGGGGCCGAGTCCCACTGCTCAGCCCCTCAGCCCCTTTATCACTCTGCTATTTGCCTTCTTTTTTTCTTCTTCTTTTTTTTTTTTTTCTTTTCCCCTTTATTTTTAGGGTAAAAAAAAAAAACGAAAAACAAAACGGGAAACAGTGTTTGTAAAAGTTAGTGCTAAAGGGGCAGGGGATCATAGGTCCCTAGGGTTGAGTAAACGAGTCTGCAGAAAGAATCAGTTCTTCTAACTAGCACACATTAAGCAGACATAAAGAATTTACCAATGAAAATTGTGGACTAAGTATGTATTTAATAACTCCCTGATGTTGCTGCAGAAACTCCTCCTTTGAAGAACTCAGTGGGATTTTGAACGGAGGATAACTCTTACCCCCATGCAAAAACTTTTTTAAAAGGAAAAGTTTTCTATTTATTTTTAACCTAAGCAGCACACCCCGTTTTTTTTTGATTTAGAGAGAAGTCCCCAAAAGCTTCAGCTAGGCAAGTACAGAGCGAATGAAACTAAGTAAAGCAAGTCTAGACTTAAAATGCGATCAGAAACATATGGGAGCTCTTCAAACATTTGCCTTCTGCAGAGTGCTATCACTCCCCACACAGAGTCCACAAAATATGCTTTCAGTAAAGCAGAGCTGTAATTACCATGGGAGGCCCCGTTCTCAGAAGATGGCTTCTCTTCTCGGAGCACAGCTAGCATGCTTCTAAATAAAAGGCTTGCGTTTCCACTTACGTTTCACATTCTTGTTTGCTTGTGACCACCAGAGAACACTTGCGGAAGGCATGCACATAACTGTATTTTATGATACATTCCTATAGATCTGAAGCTGTAAACAAAAGTCCATTATTCTCTCCCTTTTCCTCGATCTCAGTTTCCCTATAACGCAGGCCCCTTGGAGTACCCCGTGATGTGATATTCATTGTTTTTGCAGAATCTAACAAGAAAACAGTCTTAAAAAATCTCTAAATGGCTCTAGGTCTGACTGAAGGCAGATTTTAATTGAGGTGACAATAAAAATCTGGATGTGAGTCACTCCAGAACAGAAAAGTGGCTTATTTCAGGTGAGAGATAAATATCAAATCTCATTGATGTGATTATTCAGAGGTACACGTAGCCTGTTTCCGAGGCCTGTCCTTGGGAGAGTAACGGTGCCTTGACTCATCTGACTTCTAGATGACTTTCTCAGTTTCAGTAAGATTCCAAAAGACCCACACAACTTCGGCCCTGCTTTTCCCAATTCTTCTATCAATCTATCTTTATACATTCCATCTTGACCTTCACCAGCTTCTGCATTTGGCAGAAAATCCAAACAGAAGTGAAAGGGCTGTAGTTTAGCAGGGGGTTGGACTAGATGATCTCCAGAGATCCCTTCCAGTCCCTCCACTTCTGTCATTCTGTGTAGCCATGATGGCTGAAGAATAGAGGCGAGATACGGTTTGCAGGTCTGACGAGCTTGTCTAATGTCTGTGCTTACTTAACACTCTTCCTGGCCTGTAGCAGAAGCAGCATGGCTGCTCTGGAGACTCCAGAACATCAGCTCAGGAGTCAGATCTTGAGTAGAAGCAGGAAGATCATGAAGAGGAAAGCAACTTAATACCAGTGACAGGTCACAGGAAAATAGGAAAAGCAGAAAAAGGATGAAAGTAAGAGTGGTTCAGCAGAGCCATAGACAAAAATGGGTAAGAGATGTTATGGGAGAAATGAGAAACAGCCCTCAGTGGTGATGAAAGGGGAAAGTAGTGGAGGAACGCTT